TCATTCGGTATATATTTATATATGATTTTATTTAAATCATTTTTTTATTAATAATTTTTATTAATATATATATATATATATATATATTTTCCAGTTTTACAAAATTCATTTTTGTAATATTTTTGAATTTTGATTTGTTACTTTGAAACAATCAAATATCAATTTTTGTAAACTTAAAAAAAATGTAAAGACAGCTCTTCGTGTTTCAGCATGACACTAACATGAAATTTTGCAATCATTTCCGCATTCTTTAATCATGTACCATGGTGTAGGATTACAAGGAAAGAAAAATGTGAATTTTACGATAATTAATTAGAAACAATGAAAACAGAAATATAATCGATCACATTATTAGCTATAAGTATATTTTAGCACACCGTAAAGATTAATAACATGCAATACATTTTCATGCATGTTCATACATTACACATGTTATACGTTTATAAAGTTTTAAATATTAATATATCTACTTGTTATGAATATTAGATTAAAATAATATATAGGTAAGATAAATAAAGCATAAAAAGCTACTTTCTACGAAACTATTTCATTATATCATTATATTTTCTTTTTAAATTAAATTATTCACAAACTATCATTTAGAGTATTATTTCTCTAAAAATTCCTAGAAAAAAAAAACTGAGAAAAACTATAACTGTAATTTTTCTATTCTGCAGAATAAAAATTTATATAAATGTTCTTGTATTTAAAAAAATTAATAAATCTTTGTTTAAAAAAATAAAATACTAAATTTTTTGAATATCAAAGAGTATTAAAAATTTGTTATATAATTAATAAATAATTAATTTCTGTGAATCGTTTAATTTAAGAAAATAAAATTAATAATTAATAATTTCATAAAAGAGAAATATGTCGATATTTTCATTTATTTATAAATTAATGAAATTATTTTTAAAGAAATAATTTATAAAGTCAATTTCAAATGTAATTTTTATAAATTATCATTAAATTTGTTGAATTATAGTAAACATTTATATTAAGCAAATATACAATCTAATAATTAGACAATAAAAATAAAGATAAATAAATAATATTATTATATTTTATTCAATAATTGCAAGCTATTACAAATAATTTTCTCTTATTAGAAATTTTTATTGTGATCAATTTTAAATTCTTTTAAATTCGAACTTTCATAGACGGTGTTGCGTTTCTTCAAAAGAAACTTTTTCTGTCATCCTACACGCTAGTGAACCTACATAATGTCCCACGCTAGAATTACTTTCAAACTCGTGTTTGAAAGTGAAATCGAATCATGCTGAATCGAATTTCGAAGAGTTTGTGTAGAGTCGACAACCATAACGGAATCAATTTGTATTTCTCATTATTTGCATACATTGTACTTATTTGGATGATAGTACGCAAATAAATAATAAGTATAAATTTTGTATTAAAATATTTAATTGAAAAAAAAGACTGCAAAAATAAAAAAAAATTAAAGTTATTTTTCTAATAAAAAATTTTACTAGAATAAGAAAAAAATTATTAAAAAAAATATTAAAATAAGATATCCTATAAAATATCTATATATAATAAATTATTCATGAAGAGATTAAAAAAAATTTCATTATATATTAAATAGTTATATAAATATTTACAATTTATAATTACAATATAAAGTACAAAAATTATTATAAAATTTCATTGTAATTTTATTCGAAATAATTTAAGAAAAAATTGATTTTGTCTGAAGACATACATATAAAATGAGACACAATATATGATAAATTATTTTCTGAAAAACTACTGTAATACTAAAAAATATATAAACATGTATATATGATTAATTTATGATTAATAATTTTCGTATTTAGTTTTATTTTTATGTTTATTCTTTTATTACATATGCATTAAATAAAATATGCCATTTAAAACTATGCACAATAGTTAAGTTCATACCTGTAATATATATTTAAATATTACATTTAAATTCATTACATTCAAAATATATTTTCACAGTTATGAATTATTTTTGTAATTATTTAAAGTTCATTTTAGAATATTTTAAAATATTATACAATAAAAATGATGAAATAATAAAATTTCATCATTGTTAATTTAATTATATTTCATTATTGAATATTAACACATTGTATATATTTTAACAAAATTATTTATATTAAAAAATTCCATTATTTATATTAAAAATAATTCCATTTTTAATCTTTTATCTGAAATAGTAATGAAGTAATCAAGTAAGTAATTTTTTCAAAATATATTTAATATATAATACTTAACTGAAAAAATATTACGTACCATGTATTTTTTCTCTCTTTTTTCATAAAGTTTTATTTTTATAATAAAATAAGATTTATAATAATATTAAATAAACGTAGTAAATTATAAATCATCTTTACATCAAAATAAAATAGAAATATAGATCATAATGGCTACAAATTGAGAAGCCATTTGGAATGTTTTTTCTTTATATATACATATATATATATGTAAAAAAATAACAATCAATGTTCTAATGTTACTACCAGAATATTTTTTTAAATATATTTTGTGATTTTGGCTGATAGATGGAAAACTGAATTAGATGTTGGTAGCAAATTAGCACAAAGTGCTATTCTACAAACACATCAACTACACTTAAGTAGATATTCACGGAGGTTGTGAATTATATCTATTATTGTTATCTGGCAATATTAAATTAGATGCTGGTTCATCTTCAAATATGCCTTCATCTACCTCATCATCAGAAATGGTAAGTTCATCAAGATATTTATAACTATTACTTAGTTGACTGGATGGTACCACTTGTTCCTAAAAAAGAACATGCGATTCAAATGAATATAATACTAATAGTAGTATATAAGTAGAAGTAAAAATGTGCATCATTAAATTTAATTAAAAATAGATAATTATTATTATATTTATTAATTATACCTCAGATTCTGTATTTATATCTTGAAATGAAGTATCAACTTCATAATCAAATAAATCTTCTTCTGGTTCTTCTAATGAATGAACTAATAATTGTGCAGAACCTTCGTTTAAATTCATAGTTACTTCTGGTTCTCCTACAAATGTACAAATATATATTAGTTATTAATTATTTATTGGAAATACTATTTATATTTCTTTATATCTTTACTTACGGAGTGGATCATCTAAACGATTATCCAAATCAAGATATGTTGTTAACCTGTTGCTGTTATTATTATTGTCATATCTACAGTGAATCAGATCATTATTATTCTGATTTTGTAATTCATCCATATCTTCTGTTATTTCAGTTGATAGTACATTCAGACTGGATCGTCTACGAAATATCTATATATACTATAAAAAAAAATTAACATGGTTAATATAATCTGCAAAAATTGTGTTATAATATTGAATGTTGGGTGAAAAATCATGATCATGTAAGAAGCATTTAAACACGAATTAGAAAATTTACTTTGAACTGTTATAACTAGTTGTTGCAAGACAGCAACAAATATTTCGTGATGATGAGGATCTTGTAGATCCTTTTTCTTCTTCAAAATTCATCATTTTGAGCAGATGAGTCCGATTAGATTGACGATATCAGAATTCTTCGTCCTTCTTATTGTTAAAACTCGTTAATCTATCACACAGTTTGTTTCTAAATAGAATTATGAAATCTAAAAATGTGCTACGTCATGACGATTATCGATATAATGTATTCTCTTAAATATGCTCACCTTCAATGATAATTGTGTCCTTCTTTTAAATAGCGTGAAACGATATAAAATTTACTCAAAAACTTTTATCACTATCACAAACAAGAATTATAATGCAATAACGTTGAAACACTAAACAACCGCTCAGACGTTGTGAGCCGATAGGTTATACGCATGCTCCATTTGTGATTACAAGCAGCTGACGTCATGTTCAATAACAGTTATAAAGTTATTCAACTTACTATTGTTCTCAATTTATTATTATTTATAATTTAATAAATTTAAATGTATTTAAAAACAATAATAATATTATTATTTTAATAAGTTATTCATTCAGGTTGGAAGTATATAGATAGGTAAAATTGAAATATTTAATTCACCAGTTATATTTGTAAAATTTTATCTGTTATTAAAAGAATTCTAAAATCGCTTATCTTATAAAAATTTTGCACAAAAAATATCGATGTATATTTTATGAAATTCATTTATATTCAATAACAATATAAAAGTACTAAAATATTAGTATTTTTAATTCAGACGCAATATTACAATAAAATATGTTTTATTAATCTACATCATTAAAAGCTTCTTATTAAAAATATTTTTTGTGTATAATTCTTTTAAGATATCTTAAAACATGTATATGTTGATGACTAAAGAGTTGTTTAAAGAAAATAAATTAAACAATATATTCATAGGATACCGAGTCTAAACTAATAATTTTGTCACTTTATTGTCATGAAAAAAATAATATATATATATATATGTATGTAATACAGAAAATACAGAAAATATCCATACCTTAAAAACAATTTAGGATAAATATAAAAGTTCAGATATAAACATTGGGAAAAACGAAATTGCAAGTATAAAACAAGAACAATAACATACACGCTGAAAATTAAATTTTACGAAAAGATCTTTATAGGTTATTTTCATTTCTTTAAAAAAACAATTAATTAAAAATAACCATATAAAAATATCAATGTTAATTATAGAATTTGATAGCGATCATTGAGAAATATTACGAACTTGATTACTTAAAAAATTATTAGTTTTTTCTTTTTTTCTTCTTTTTTAATGAGAATGAAAGAAATGATCACAGATTTATCCCTGTCTCCCATTTTCTTTCTACATGCGATTATATCACTAGGAGAAAAAAATTGTAATAACAAACCTCCCGTGAAGACGTGTTAGTTTAAAAAAGAGTATCACTCATAATAATTGGGTCTTTTTTCTTTCAAACGTATATGTCTCTGTCGATATAAATCTGTCTACTTTCTACGATATTTTCTGAGCCACGTTGCCTTTCTTCATTTATTATTTTATTTTATTTTATTTTATTTTTTTATTGTCTATAAATAGCCTAAATAAAATACATATGTATATCTGTGGCTTTGCTGCTTCATAGCGATATAATACTACAAAACTTAACAAAACGCTTTTAATCTCTTCAACATTCGTCCCATTTTGTCTTTTATTGGTCTAGTTTACTTTCGTAAGATTTTTATAAAAGTGTAAAATTCAAAAAGAGAATCATTTGCAAGGATGATAAAACGTTCTTTTGAATTATGGGAACTCGTCAAACATATTTCAAGATGCTTTTATTCTTTCTCGGGCATCCTCTTTGACTGGGACGATGGGACATTCGATCCGATATGTTTTAACTGAAATTAACAAGCGCAATCACAAGCGCAACGGCGCACACGCTTCTCACGGCGATGAGTGAATGCTTCTGGAATGGAACGCACTGAACGTGGTTGAACATCTGTGAACAAAGTGAAAACAGTTTTATGTAATATGTAATATGTATATGAAATTGTAAGGACATATTTCTAATGCATATAATGCATATAACATATAATACATAGTTATATATAAACTTATATCCCACTTTATTGAAATAATTTTATTAATAAAAATGAAATTGAAAATTTATTTATAAAATAAATAAGAATTAAGATAAGAATTAAAAACAAGAAAATAAAAACACGAGAAGTATAAAATGTTAGTTGCTTACAATGTGGGCGGCTTTCCTCTTCTTGTTCCTGTTGTTGCTGTTGCACTTGCTGCTGTTGCATCATCATATGAGTCGTCTGTTGTTGTTGTTGTTGTTGCTGCTGCTGCTGCTGTTGCTGTTGTTGTTCTTGCTGTCTTTGCTCCGATTCTTGTTCAAGACTTTGACTATCGGAAACTTCAGCACGAGCCTCTACAGGTATTTCCAAAGATTCTACAGGTCTTAACGGTAGAGCGAATCTTGGGAAAGCATTACCTTCTACAACCTAAAAAAATTAAAATAAATATCGGTATATAAATTAACGGTATATAATTAAAAATTAAATTATAATATTTAATGTTAAAAATAAAAATGTAAAAAAATTATGGCAGCGGTGGGATTCGAACCCACGCCTCCGAAGAGACTGGTGCCTTAAACCAGCGCCTTAGACCGCTCGGCCACGCTACCGGTTGTTACTTTCTTGAAAAAATGCTGATCCGGCGGTTCTCATTTTTTGTTCTTATATAATACATGTTATGATAAATTTATATATTTTAAATAAAGTTAATAACACAACGCTCGCGTTATGAAATATAAAATTCAAAACCAAAATGCAATTATTTTATAAAAATATACAAAATTCATGTAACATTAATAAAATGATATTACTGCATATTTAAATGTTTGTTCAGATTAGTTAATTCGAATTCGAATAATTATAATCACTTTATTGGTATAAATATATTATTTTACTTAATTGATATGAAATTTATGTTTAAAAATTAGAAATTTTTTAAAAAAAATAAATTAATTTGTTTCTTTTTAACCTGGTTAATTATATTACGAATTTCCGCTGGTAAAGGAAAGTTTCTTTCCTCCTCGCTGTCGTCTTCCGGTCCAGAGAAAGATTTCGCTTCCTGTTGTTCGCTAGAACTATCCGACCGTTGACGACCCTCGACATTTCCATGTTCCAACAGATTTCGAACTTCGACCGGAAGTGGAAGTCCTACAGGAATAGGTTGAGCTCCTTCCGGGAACGGCTTGAATTCTTGAACGTTCTAAAAGATAAAAAAAAATATACAATTATTTCAATATAATCTTTAAGATTATATTTAAAACAAAACAATCTCGTTTATATAAATTTCGAAGAAATGTTTATTTATGTTTTCTTCCCTTGATTTCCTTATTTACTCATTTCCTCTTTATTGCAAACATTGCAATCAAATTAATTACCTCACGGCGAGCACCTTCAGGTATTTGCATAGGTATCGGTCTTGCTTCGCCGGTTATATGCTGAATGATATTTTTGATTTCCAAAGGTACTTGTTGAATAATCCTTCGAATTTCGAACGGGATTCCTTGGAAGGTGAACGTTGCGTCTCGGTAACTTGAGATTGTGGTTGCGGCTGAGCTTGAGGCATCTGAGGTTGTATTTGAGGTTGCATCTGAGGTTGCATCTGAGGTTGCATCTGGAGTGGACGTTGCTCGGTTTGCGGGATCAACATATGAGGAATAATCCGTTGCTCGTGAACCTGAGCTTCTGGTTGCGGTGCTGGAGGAGGCATCATCGCCGGTCCCTGCTCTTGGTTGTAAGGTCCAGATGTTTGCTCAAATGTTTGTTGATACGTCAGTGGCACTTGTTGCGGTTCTTGGGGCATCGGTGGTCGCATACCTCTCATAGGATTCGCCGGGAAATGACGCAACTCGATGGGAATCCGACGTATCTCGACCTAAATAAAATTATTCAATTACAACTATATACTTTCTTAATTGAAATATTTTATAAGATACGTTGCAAGATATACTCGATTGAAGAATATTATATTTATTCACCTCAATATAATAGTGAATTATTGCAATTTTATCCTCAATGACAAAATTTTTTTCATTTTTTTCTTTCTCTTTTTAATCTTTTCGCTCGTAATTATCAACACGAAGCGTACTAACTTGAGGTCCCATCGCAGGAGCTTGCGGTCCCATCATGGGCGTCTGTGGTCCCATACGTGGAGGCCTCATTTCCATGGTTACTTGAGGGATATTTCGCAATTCTGGGGGAAGGACACCAGGTGGAATATGATTGAGTCCACGTGGATCGCTAAGTGGTAACTGTTGCATATCGGGAACTTGATACTGAGTGTGCACTTGATACTGATGGTAAGCCGGATTCGGTTCCTGGGATTGAAGTGGTACTTGGACGGTTCCCAGAGGAATGATGATCGGCGTGAGCATTTCTTGATCTTGTTGCCTTTAAAAATTACATTTTTTTTTTTAATTAATATCATACATACAGTTTTATTTGAATTTCCAAATTTTTAATTTTTTTTTTTTTTTTCTTCTCCGACTTTAATAATTTTTTTCACAGTGTACGTACTCTTGATGAGGATTGCCAGATTCGCACAAGATAGCGACACGCTCACCGCTCAATCTTTGGTAACGAGAGTCAGTATTATTTTCAACATTATTGTTATTAGCACCGTCCATCACTTGATCGGCTCTTCGTCTTTCGACCACGCAAGAAACTCTGCTGCGTGCCTCTTGGATCAAGGTCTAAGAAAAAAGGATAAATTTTTATTAAAAAAAAGTATTTGTAAATTTTCTCTTCGAGCGAAGAGTTGAGGTGAACGTCATTTTTTTTATTGTTCAAAATTCAAAAAAATTTAAATTTTGTCAAAAAATCTTTTTCAGCTTTTACATATAAAGCGTATATAAGCTTGGCAAATATATAAATTTCCATAAATCATGGAAACGCATAAAAGGAATATAGATTGTCGAATTATGGAAATCTTTTTCCTGGAATATTAAATTAACTTACGCCCGCGATTTCGTCGAAATCGAATTGTAGGGGCAGTTTAATATGCACGGGAGGAAATTCGTCGTCGTCGTAGTCATCGTCGTCATCGTCACGGTCGCCGCTTTCGTTGTCCGACTTTGAATTGTTCTCATTCTCCTTGTGAATTTTCACGTCCTTGGTGTCCGGTTCTGCCTCTTTCTTCGACGGTGTTTGCTCAGCGAGAGATTGTTGAACCTCTTTCGTGTCGCTGGTATCCTGCGCAAAGATAAAATATTCTCTCTTGAAATCTCTCTTAAACGGTGGATAATTGATAGGTATAAAAATATCATTTTTCATACTTTCATCAATTCCTGTAATAAATATTCTCTTTTTTCGAAGAAAATTTCATCCACGTAACGTAAAATTAGTCGTTAATTCTAATAAATAAATACATCCAACTCGTCATACCCATTTTTATAATCTGTAACTCGTAAATTTTTATACATATTATTAACATACCAGGATCACGATACGCTATTTAATTATTTTCCACGTTTTATTGCACTTAAGAACGATATATACTACTAAGCAGTTTCATTTCAGCATTGATAAATTTTTCATCTGTATCGATGTAAAACCAATTACCATGATTTTAGAAAGAAAATTATTAGAATTGGAAGAAAAAAAATGTTTGGATAATAGATTGAAGCGTATACATAAAATGCAACTCAACTCATATTATATCTCTAACGAATTCAAAATTAAAATGTAACAATAAAATAACGTTCATCAGCAACATCTTAATCAAAAAGCAAACAAGATACCATTATTATTATTATGAATTAGACGAGTATTTTT